GCTGTTTTTTTTTTACCTAGTCCTAAGCATCTGGCTTAGTCACCCTTGAACACAATGCTCTCCCAAATCCTCCAGGTTTTATCAGAGAAAGGGTGTTGGTGTCAGTCAACAAGGCATCTCAAATGAAACAGGCATAAAGGAGGATGTATCAAAGCCACCCAGACACTGGAAGACCCCTCCTGGCCATGTCAGAAGTTGCAAGAAAACTATGTTAAGCTGATGAAACTTTTAAAGAACATACCCTCCTTCTCTTTTTATATTATTATGCATGTTGTTTATACTAATCACCCTGCACAATGTAAAAGTATTACAATTGATGTAATCATATGTATCAATGACAGCCAAGTTGGTAGAACGTCTGCTTTGCTTTGTTTGTAAAGAAAACTGTAATTTTTTTGGTGATACCATCAGAAGCATCAAAAGAGATCACGACCTGTTTGTGGAAAACTAGTTCAAAATTCTAGAATAACATTAGGCTCTATACTACACACCTGCCACTCTTTGTTAGACCTTCCTTATGTGTTTCTGTCATCTACAATAGGAAAGATGACCCTGGAAGACACAATCAATGAAGTAAGCCGGGATCCAAAGGAAAACCACCCTATCTACATGCTCCTATGTGGAATCTACACACATTGAGGGCTGAAGCCGGTATCTCAGTGGTTAGGCATTTGCAAAGCATCTGCAGAGTCCCGAGTTTCAAGCCCAGCACTAAATGAGAAGCTGAAAATAGAAAAGCTCATGTTGAGTGAGGTAGATGCTTAGTAGGTAAAGGAGCTTGTTGCCAAGGCTGATGATCACCCATGTTTGATCCCAGGGACCCACATGGTGAAAGGAGAGAAACGACTCCAACAAATTATCCTCAGACCTCCACACATGTAATGTGGCAGTGCAAACACACACACACACACACACACACACACACACCGACAAAGTAAATAAGTGAATGTAATAAAACTTTATGTCACAGTGCTAGAGAGTGTAATGATGGTCACTAGCTACTAAGTTTCAATTAGGTAGAATTCTAGGTAGCTGGCGTGGTCAACCACCATGTACCATGTATGTCAACATGCTGTATGAGAAGATTTTGAATGTTTCACTTTATAGAAATTATAATTGAATCCCTGACTTGATCCTTAAACATCATATTCATGTACTGAAACATCATTTTGTCTCCCTAAGTATTACAATATCATTTTCAATTAAAAATGAAAATATCCCTTTAGAACTAATAGATTGGTGTCAAACAGTGACCTGGGTCTGAAATCTTCTCTCCAAATACACTCAAGCATGCCTACCAACCTACCCACTTAGATTAATGTCTCCAGATTTTAACAATTAGTGAAAAAACAAAGCAGAATGACAACAACAAAATCCTACCACACGGGCCAGAACTAACACTAGCCTGTAGTATCTCCAGGACAATGAGTCCTGCACTGCCACACTGAGTTATTCCTCTGTACAGTTTAGGATCTTTCGGATCAGGTAACACTCGATAGAATGGTAAAAAGAAAAATTGTGTATGTCTCGTGGAGTGTCCTTACCGTTTGCAGGGAAAGATGCTGCTGCCTGAGTACTCCGATGTAATATTTCATCAGATCTTCACTCTACTCTCAGGATAACCCATAAGGGGATGGATTGCTGCACTGGCTGCTCTCCAAGGCATTTCAACCAGTTAAGTAGCAAAGGAGCATTATTAAAAAGCATTTTCACATGTGAAGGGCATGGTGATAGGCCCTTAAAAGACAGTTATATATGCATTTCTCTGAGGTTCCCATTCGGTTATATTGCTTGCATAATGTGGAAGCAAGAGAGAGGAGCAGCCCAGTGGCTCATGCCTATGTTCACAGCCTAGCTAAAGAAATAGAATCACATTAGATTGAACATTATGAACTTGCCAGCATTTGATCCTGGAAAGCAATTTCCCATTACTGAACCTGATATACACCCTGGTTTAAACAGCATTATTTAAGTTTTCATATTCTGTTTTAATTTCAGGTCACCCCAGTTCATTCACTTAAAACACATATTTTTTATGTGTTCACATTACATCAAAGGCTCGAAATTAGAAATAATATTTTATGCGATATTTGAGTGTAAAGCACAACAGCCTTTGAGACCTTATTGGAAAGAAAAGATTTGGTTTCCTCTTGTTTGTGGAAAGGCCCTGAGGTTAATGGAAAGATGAAGCCATTATGACAATAAACACCTCCTATAGAGGCAGCAAGGAACAGCCTACCCTTTGTCAGTTACAATGTACATTAATGTCTTTGGGATGGAGGGTCTGTGTAGAGATTAGGTAGAAATGTATGATGTCTTCAAGAAAGGACACAGTGGTTTGGAGTATATTTTGGATGGCCATGAGTTTCCTTAGCAGTTGCTGCTACCTAAAGAGTGTTCTGGAAAGAAAACAAAGCAACTGACCTTGAACCAGAGTCACTCCAAGAACAGTTTTGGATATGCCCAGTATCATTATGGTTCTATCTTAATTTTGAGACAGAATTTTCTGTGGTAGCTCAGGCTGGCCTCTGACTTTCTCACTATCTCAGGCTGGTCTAGAATGACATTTCCTCAGGGATGGGATTACAGCTGTACACTACCAAGCCTGACCCAATATTTTAATTTTTAAGTCCTCTTGAGAACCTCCAAGTGGAGAGTTGCCTAATAATAACAGAAGTACCTCAAATGGTAGGGTCCCAGTCATTGGTACCCAGGTGGGGCCACCATGCTGAGTCACATAGACGTAGGAGCCAACCAAAGCTGAACTAACAGCTGACTGACCTCAGCACGTCGCATGTCCTCCCTGGTTCTGTCTCCTTGTCTAGAATGGGAACTGTGGGAGTGAATGCTTCCTAAGGTGTGTAATTAAATGACCTCCCACATACAAAGGGAACCCAAGTGTGGCTATTCTCATCACGTATAAATGGACACTTGCTCATTTGCAAGCCTTTAGCTACAAAACATGAGAGTGTCATGTGTTCTTTTATCCAAATTTGAGTGATCAGCAGGAAAGCTTTGAAAAGTGCTAACTTGCTAAAATTAAAATCTTGCTGCAGGGGGAGTATGACCTTCTTGTAACCTTGTCTTTCAAATTTTACATAAAGCAAACAAAAAAAGAAAACCAAAGAAGCTTAATTGGAATGGGTGAATAAGACACAGCTTATCAAAAAAGTATTTGATTTACATATGTGTTTGCGCATGTATTTTTAAAGTCTGGAGTATGTAGGTGAAAGGCGCTTATCTGGAGCAGTGAACCTGTGGGGACTTTTCCATTTCTATCACACATACTTTGTTGCATTGTCAAAAATATCTCTAAACGAGAGGCTGCAGATATGGTTCAGAGGTTGACCACTGGCTGCTCTTCTAGAGTCCTCTGGTCCATTCGGGGTACCCAAATGGCAGCTCACACCTGTCTACAACTTCAGTCCCAGGGGAGTTCTTCCAGGCTCTGCGGCTACTATGCATGAAAGTGGCAAATATATATATATATATATATATATATATATATATGATACCAATACACATAAATTAAAAAATCCAATGAGCATGTGTCTACCATCAATCCAAATAAAAAATACTTTTGAAGCGTTCTAATTTGGATATTTATATACCTTATTAACATAGTAGCTCAATTTCGTATCACACATACCAAAACATCCCTTTATGCTGTGAAAAACTAAGATAGGACTGGAACGGAATACAAGAAATTCCTCACACAATCTTGAGTCAAACCTGTTTCTTTTAGTGTAATGGAGTTGTTAGTTGGGCCTTGATTTTTCACCTGGACATTCTGCATCCAGGTTCTTCATGTTCACTGCTCTCATTTTGACCATAAATATTTGCCTCATGTCTATTAAATTACAACAAATAAATCTTTTATTGGACTCATTGTAATGTTTTTCCATCTCACCCAGCATGGAGTTACACATTTACCGATTTTATAAAAACTGCAAGAGGTGTTAATTATTTCTTGAAACACAAATGTTATTTTTATTATCTAGATGTTGTCCTGTTTGGATTATCTTACCATCCCTATTTATATTAGACACATTATATTTACATATTGCTTGTATATTTGAAAAGAAATACCATACAGCCTTTAATGATTTTGCCCCTCTTCTGTTTCCTCGACCATGTTTTTACAACTGCATCTTCTAGAGAACTGACTGGTCCAAACAAAAGGCGTGCTTCTTTGTATCAAGACTTGATTCCTTCACTGTGGCAGAAACAAACAGGAGCAAATTCGCATGGCTCACAGTTTCAGAGGGTCCATTCGGCCACGGTGGGAAAGGCATGGGGGGGAGGCAAAGCGATGCTCACTGCAGCATCACTTCACCAGAGGGCGGGAAAGCGGAGAACTGGGGAACTAGTCCAGGCTACTACCTTCAAAGACCCACCCCTAGTAACCTATTTTCACCAGCTAGGTCCCACCCTCTAGTCTTCTTCAAAATATCCCCCACCTAGGAGAAAACAGAGGCTCAAAACGTTAGCCTATGGTGGGGGGTATTTTTTTATACCCATTGAACAAGAGTTTTGTGGAACAGTTTGCAAGTTTACAGATGGTTACTACCTCCTCCCAGAGTCCTGTTCTCTGACTGTTCAGCTGACCTCCTGTTTTTCCTCAATAGAGGTCCAAAAATAGAGGTCTATAAACCCAACTGACATTGAATGTGCTCACAGTATGTTTAGAAGCTGAAAAAGTTAGGTGTGGACCTGGTTGTATGGGGCTTCTTTACCTTTGCAGGGGTAGGGGTGGGTAGTAGGGGATGGGGTGGGGAATGGGAAGGGAGTGAGATACTGTCACATGATCTGCTTACACAGCTCAGGTCTGAGAGGGCAAGTAATTACCACTCAACAAATGTTAGATGTTCATTCAGTATTTCCTATTTAATGGAAAGCAAACAGCCCATTCAGCACCAGAAGAAAAATTAATTAAAATTTACACCAGGCACGCATAATATCTGTCACACATCAAGCCACCTCAAGTGTCTGTCACTCACGTCAGGTCTTGCTTTCTCGCTGCTTGTTCCCGTTTCCATAAGCAGCCACACCAGGGCTAGGAAAAACAAGGTCCTCTTCCGCTTCAAACCCTACATAGGACTGTGATCTGTTGAGAAGAAAGAGATGGGCAGAAGAGTAGGAACAGAAGAAAGAAGCCAAGACAGAGAGGAGAAAGGAAGAAAGAGGAGAAAGGGTCAAAACCCAGCATTGCAGAAACATTCACAAATGATTAGTCAACTAACTGTTTAACAAATCGCAAAGCTATATAATTGTGTCATTGAAGATAATTAGTTTTGTAATGGGTTTACTTTGAAAAATGAATTAACAGCTAGTATGTAAAGAAATGATGTGTGTTTGGGGGGGGCGTGCATTTAAGGAGCTTTAGGATTCGCCTTTGTCCAGCCCGGCCTTACCAACTTTGGCATTCTACTTGTCGACTTATTTGGATAAAACAGAGAAAATGTCTTAGTAGGGGGTCTTTCATGAATGGTCTTTTCCCAGTGACTGCATTAAGCTCAGCAACAGATCAGATTGCGACCTCTGTGCTGTTACTATTAGCTGTTTGGAGGGAATCCCTCTGAGCCTTCAAATAAAGTGCAACATGGTACCCCTGAATCAGATTGAATAAATATCAAGTTATAAATGTCTATTGTGGGACAGTATCAGACACCTCCTCCCTTTCTTCTTTCATGCAGAGCCATCAGATTGCAGGAGTCTCGGATCTAATAATTTCTTCAGCCCCACTGAAGTCCTTGGAGACACCTTGCATTTCCCACTGTCTCCCTTTATTCTAAGGTCCTGGGCTGCCTAAATCCGTGAAGCGCAATCGAGAGTCACACAGCTTTTCGAAGTCGGGGCGCTGCCGAAAGGCAAGCTCTCCAGCCTCCTTACTGCAACCTAGGATCCGCTTGCGCTGGGTGCCCGCTGCCTGTGCGCGCGCAGGCGGCCAGGCGAGCTGCAACCGCGGGGCCGAGCGCCCCCTCCCTGCTCCGCTCCCCTCCTCCTCCTCCCGATACAATGACTGGGCCGGAACAGCGCATCCGCCGAGCCTCATTGGCAGGGCCGCCCCGGCCCCCGGAGAGGCGACGGGCGGGGGCAGCGCTGAGAGAGCGGTGGAGAGACCAGGCTGACAGCGGTCAGAGGCTGGACCAAGGGACGCGGGGACACTTGGAAAGCGGCTCAGGGTTCCTCCGCGGAGTGTGGGGATCCTGGTGAGGACGCTGGGCCAGGGGATGCTGCGGGCTCTGGCTGCCCGGCTAGCCGCCGCGGAGTTGGACTGCGTGGCTTGGACCCTGAGCCCAAGCCTGGGCGGAAAGGAGGAGGACCGAGAGGAAGACAGCCGCCGCGGGGGAAGGCGCCACGCGCAGCGGAGTTGCGGGACTGGCGCGGAGCGGGTTCCCCGGGTTCCGCGCGGTGCGCAGCGCAGACAATAAAGTAGCAAGGCGACAGCCCCGCGCGCCTGAGGGAGGAGGCGACTGAGCAGGTAGGTGCGTGGCTGTCCCAGGCATGTCGGAGCGCGCTGTCACTGGAGGAGGAGGCCGATACTCACCTCAGGGGCGCGGAGTGCGCCCCCAGCGCGGCGCGCAGGTTGGGGACCCACAGAGAAGGTCCCCAATCTCTTGCCACCGGGAAGCCCCGCCCCAAGGCTCCCAGGCTGGTGCAGCCTGGACTAGAGTTCCTAGGCACTTGGCGCCGCGCTTTGGTGGCTCTGGCGGTGTGGTGACAGGAAGTTTGGCGGGTTCAAGGCTTTGATGCTGGTGGGGTTTGCGAACGCGCCGCCTGGGACTGTGCGCTCTTTGCTTTGGTAGGAGGTAGGGAGAAGAACCTTTGAATCCCAGACCCGGTTGTCCAAAGATGCCCTCGGAAGACGGTGGAAAGAGCAGAGGGGACCTTGGCGTTAGCCTATCACACCCAGCGTTTGGCTTGGTTTCCCTTTGTAAAAAGGCGTGTCACATCCTAGTCGCGCCTGTATTGGAGAGGCTGTGTGCGTGTGAACCGCTCCCTGTCAATTTTTCTGGAGTATTTCACTTTTCATTTTCACCCTGAGAAGGCATATTTAATCCTAATTTGAGAAGTGATATTTCATTTGGACTAGAGGCCAAAGTCTCCCTTTGCTTGGCGCTCTTCTGCTCCTGATTAGAGCTGGGTCCCATTTACAAAGGGGTAGAGCTGGGCTCCAGTCTTCCCCGAGTCTGAGAATTCAGTGGCAGGAGGAGGTCTCTCGTTCTCCTTTGTGTGGCCGCTTCCTTCCTTCCAGATGTGAGAGGGTTGGGCTGGGCGCTTCTGGGTGCGGTAATAATTATCCTGAACATTCCTGAGATCTGCTAGGACTTGTAAACATACCAGAGCCAACTCCTCTGAACTTTGCGGGCTGACTTGATGTGTTTGCTGGTACCCAGAGGGCCACGTCTGCAAGGTGGCCCCTTGGGGAAGGAAGACCCCAGGGGGCTGACGGCCACAGTCTCAGGAAAACTGCATGATTCTTCAGGGTTAGCCTGAGCTTGCCCCAGAAACGTAGCAGCCAACCCAGAGGATGTGTTAAAGATTACAGGGCAATCCCTGACATGCTGATTCTTGTCCCAAAGGGAGTGGATCTGAGGAACTTCCAAAGCCAGTGTCTGCAGGGGAAGGAAAGCCTCTTCTTCCTTAACCCTCTCTAGCAGCTCTTTTCTTTGATCTGTCCTACACAGCGTACTGAAAAGAACCGGGAGCTCCGTGTCAAGGAGTCCCGCAGGCAGTTTGCAGGCGTGGTGAATAGTCCATGAGATGGTAAGGCAAATCCTAGAGGGAGGACCATCCCATTAAGCAACTCACATAATTTCACGTTAGGCTCCTTGGCAGAGCTGGGTCACTAGAAGGGACCCCAGTCATGCTCTATTGATGATTATGGAAAGCAAACAAAGAATAAGCAAATCAACAATAGTTACCTTGCCTTTTCTTTCACATAAATTAAATCGATATTTAAGAGTTGATGGAGAATCAAGAGTTCTGTGCATTTTTGTTCCCAAGTTCAATGTTACAAAATAGCTAGCAGGTTAATCTGTGAACATCTGCAGGCACATATACGCACATGTCTTCCAGTGGTACATATATTTCCCAGAGGAGGTAAAAAAAAAAAAACTCGGAGCTTCTTGAGATAGAGATTTGTCATTTCTTTGGGACACTGTGCATGTATTAACCAAACACTTTATTTGCTTGTATTTGGTAATGTGGGTGGAAAGTATCTGGATAAGACAATGGTGGAAAATTAAGACATCTTACCTATAAGACATTCACAGAGAAGTTTGATTTTCCTTGCCTGCCAAGTTCTCAGAAGGTCAGGCTTCAGGGCATGCAAGTGCTTGCCCCAAACATAACTTTCTGCAAATGTTTCCATGTTAGCTACAGAAAAGTTAAGGGGCCTCTTGTAGCAAGTACAGGATTACACTTGAACCTACAGAGTCTAGAAAATTATGGGCGGAGCTAACCTCACCTGCAGTCCAGCCAGCGTGTGGGACAGGGTGTGAGAAGAAGAAGGTCTCAGAAGTATTTACCATTTTTAGTCTCTGTTTCCCCCAAAACTTGGGGCTCCTACTTGCCCACTTGGTGGCACAGATTTAATTAAGGCTTTGTAGTGCCTTTGTGGGAAGAGAAAAACTGAAAATACAAACAGGGTGCATGGAAGACAGCTAAAAATACCTGACTGCCCTATCCAGTCTGCAGTAATGTTCAGAACTGCACAGTTATGTTTGCACATGTAAGTAAAGGCTTGGAGCTTACACTACAAATAATCTCTTTCTCTTTCTCCATCTGCCCCCCTTTCTCTCTCTCCCTCTTTTCCTCTCTACATTTTAATTTTGTTTTAGATGATCTTTTTCTTGGTAATGAATTCATTTCTAAATCTTTAGGACTTTCCCCCACCTTCTTTTTTAGTTAATGTGGGTTCTAGGCTATCAGAAATTCCTAAGGTAGCAGATTTGCATTGCTAGATGCTTGGTAAGAACGATCTTGGTGATTTAGGGGTCAAACTTATTTTCTTTTGTAAACTGCCTTCCTGAAATTATAATGTATTTTTCTTAAAAGACAAAACCAGGTTCTTCCTTATGATTTCACTTTCTAAACCTTATCTCACAGAATAGTGTTTTTCAAAATTAAGGTCATAAACTCTATTTACTGGTAAGAATCAATATTCAAATACTCTATGACAAGACAAGAGTCCGTCTCCATGATAAGCTGGTAAAGGAGAATTATGTGACTTTATGAACCTTTCAGTTGGATTTAGAGGGTGGGCTGATGTATACATTTGAGACTGCAACATATCATGTCATTTCATTGTGAGTTACTGTCAAAAGGTTGAGTTATAGGGGGTGTGTATCTATCCATACTGTTTTATTAAGTGGGAAATATAATTTTAAGTGCATTTGGGACACTTTATAGACATCACAAAAGCAGTATGTCTTTTCCTGTGTGTTGGTTTATGCCGTTAACAGGCAGGGGTGTATTTTGCTTAGAGATGAAAAACACCCTCAAGATCTGGTTTCTTCTCAGTTTTTTTCAAAGTCCTGCATAAGAGGGCTGTATATTGTAGCTATTGCTGGCTTAGATGGATACGGTTTGGATGTGTTCTTCAAAGTTTCCTGGGCTGGGGTGTGGCCGTACGGAGAAGTGAAGGGCTTTGCTCATGGGGGCACCAGTTTGTAGAGGAATTGATGTTGTGCTTATAGGGCCTGGGTCAGTTCCAGAGAGATGTGACCACAGAATCTCACTGTCTTCTCACCTTACTGTGTTATCTCTTCCCACCATAAACCCCTAACCATAGGCTCAACAGAAGGGTCATGTTGAACTGTTGAACCTAACAAACTGTGAGGTGTTTTTGTAATGTTTTCAGAAAAAAAAACCCTTAGTCTGGTTGACTTCTTTGGAGGAAGCACCTGTAATAAATGACATCTGGAGTAAAGAACACCCCAGACCCTGTGACCTGTCACATGAAGACAGTTGCTTGGGAAGAGAACTGTACACCGAGGTCTGAGGGCAGGTCTTTCAGCAGAGTACAAGGGCCTAATAAAGACAACTGACTCCTGTTTTCTTTGAAGTCCTGCATAATGGAAGTCGAGCTAAGCTGTACTCCGCAAATAGGTTATCAATACAGTTTCTCATGTGTATAAAGAAAACCCAGCTGCCTCTGAACATGGTCAATATCTGGGTTTATGAGATCAAAATGTAGAGAAACTGAAATTGATAAGAGGCATGCTGCTTTCAATGATACATGGGAGTGGGTGGGATGTGTAGATACATCAATTAAATAACCACAACACACCTAGGGATGACCATGCTTGTTTCTATATGTATGGGCAGATCTTAGAAGAAGGCATTTATCTTAAATTAACTTTTTATTTTAACATAATATAAGTTATTTAAGTTGGCTTTAGAGGAGATTATTTGGAGAGTGCACCCCCTTAAGGCCCAGGGTCAAATGAGTCCTCCATCTTCAGCCCTGAGCTATTTATTTGGGTCTGTGTTACTTTGCCCTTGGGGAATGCACTACTTTTAATTGTCTCCTGTCACTTCATATACAATTAACCAGTGGGAAGAGAGCACTAATTGTGCCTGGCTGCAAGGATAATGCTCACTCACAGCAGAGAGTCCTTAGAAGTGGGTTGAACATGTTGGCTTGCCTTGGGTCAGTCCTGATTAATATCCGTGCCTCCAGGATGGATGGTAAATTACATAGTCACCCTGCCTGGGAGGCTATTTTGGAGGGCTATGATTAGGGCTTGTGTAATAGTTTAAGTTATTTGATAAAGTATTCCCTGTACTGGGAAGACCTAAGTGATTATGCTAAAGGATAGGAAGTCATATGGCAAAGGAGAAAGGAAACCTAAGACATCATTATCAAAATGCTGAGTAGTTCTGTGTCAAGGATAGTTCTTCCCTGAAAGGCTATTTGTCAGTGTCCAAGAAATTTGTTGGTTGTCACCATTTGGGAAGAATGTTCGTGGAGTCTAGCGGTTATAGGGCAGGGCTCTCAGAAAATTCTACAGTACACTGGACACCCTATACCAAAGAACTGCCCAGTCCCCATGTTTGTGGTATGTGCTTGGGTAACCCTAGGATGGGTGACAGTGGGAGGATGGAGAATATGATGGCTTTTTTCAGTTGTCAACTTGGAAGGATCTGGAATCACCTGGAGAGGAGTTCCCGGTAAGGAGTTAGGTTGGCCAGTGGCCTTTCTCTGAGGGAATTCCTGAACTAGGTTAATTGAGGTAGGAAAACCCACCCTGAGTACAGTTAACACCACTTCATGGAAAGGGTTCCAGGCTGAATGAAAAGGAGAGAGAGTAGGCTTTGCACTAGCATTATTCTCTGTTTCTGTGATGTGATGTGACCAACTTCCTCACCATGACAGACTCTATCAGAACCATGAGTCAGAAACAAAACCCTCTCTCCCTTAAGTTGCTTTTTGTCAGAGTTTTTGATAAGCAAGAGAAAAGCAACTGAGATGGGAAGAAAGTGTTTGAAGCGAGAGGGTGATGATATGTGTGTGTTCACATTGAGATAATTATTAGGCTATATATTCACATTCTTTAATCTTTTGTGTGCGTGGAACCAGTTTTTAAAAAAAGTTTTAAACAAGATGTGTTCACCAGAACTGAAGGATCAAACTCCTGATGCCTGGTTATATAACCCGTAAAGGCTCAATAAATAGTAGTACTAATGGCTACCATATTAACTCATGTTCAGTTACACTGAAAATTATTCACCTGTGCCTTTGAAATGTTCATTCCTTATAGCTCTTATAGACCTTCATTCTAATCTGTTTTCTGTTATTATAGCAAAATACCTGAGACTGGATATTATATAAGGAAAAGTTGACTTAGATCATAATTCCAGACGTAAAAGCATTGTGTGGGCTTATGCTTAACTTTGACTAGGATGTCAGTGCAGACAACAAATGCTTGTGTGTGTGTGAAGGGAATACTTGTAAAAAAGAGAGGTTACAAGGCCAGATGAGAAACCATAATGGCAAAATCCATCGTTCTTATGGCAACTCATCCTTGCAAGAACTTACTCCTTGAGGCCCTCCAAGCACCTTGACTCCAGGGACCTAATTTCCTTTAGTCCCCATGTCTTAAATGGTTTTATCACTTCT